ATATAGGTATTAGTTATCTAAATCTAGTGGTGAATGAAGAATAAGAAAACACGATGAATTGGAAATCTTTTCCATAAATCCTGTATATTGGGAACGGTAAGGAACAAAAGATTACAATGGGCTGGGCATGCTTGGCGTAGCCAAAATCCACTCAGACGCATAGTACTAGAAGAAAATCCTACTGGGAAAAGACCACGTCTGAGATGGGACGTAGTAAGGAATGATGTGGAAATATTAGGAGGAGGTTTAGACTGGAGGATGCAAGCGTCGGACAAAGAAAACTGGAGGCAAAGCTGTATTTCGGGATGGTCCTAGTGGCCGATTTACCAAAGAATAAAAATTTATTTAAACCACAAAATTATTATATATTAAAAACCCATAAACAAATATGTAATAAAATCTATAAAAGAATACACTTGCAATATTTATAATAATATTATTATTATATTTACAGCATACATATTTAAATGATATGATAATATTATTGTTTTCGAATACCATTTACAAGATGAGTGAATTCTTGGAAAAAATAAATGTATTAAATCAAAGAAAATTAATCATTTATTGAACGTGTGTATTATGATCGTTAATCTACATGGGGTCACGAGAATTAACTGAAACACAAGGTGTCCTACAATGTAAAATTTATTATTCTTATAATAAATCCTGTGACCTAATTAAAATCATATTTACTGTACCTGTATTTTGACTTTTAATATCTAGCTAAAGATAATGGTGAACTATTAAATTGGCTTTAGGGAAAGATACTAATAACTTTAAGGGTTCCGGTACCGGTTATTTAAAAAGGAGTTAAATATTGGCAATATTTGAAAAAAATATTTAATAAATTTCGATCATGTCAACTTGTTAATAAATTAAAGTTTTAGAGTATAAATTTAAACTAATACCATTTTCTGTGAATGTACTAGGTTATAGTTACATCAGTAGTGAAAATGATGTTAAGGGAAAAACGGAGATGCCTCGTAGAAAAAGATTTTGATTTTTTTTAATATAATAAAAATAAAATTGTTTTACAGTGCGGTCTAACATATGTACAAACGTTTATTTTAAAATACGTTTATAAAATTAAGTGTCTGAATACAGATATTGTACATTTTAGCATTAATTTATACAAAGATTGTTGAAAGTAATGGCTTTACATCTTGTTTATCTCTATTCAATATTCTAATAATTGTATTTTAAACGTACGTTTTTAATTAAAAATAGTTTGTGGAGTTATTAGATAATAGTAACCACTGGTCATGGTCTTTGAATAAGACCACAATATTTCCTGAAAGTAACCACTGCCACTTTGAGAAGTTGTGTAGTGATTATCTAATCTTATATAAATAAATAAATAATATTTGATGTTTATGCATAATAATAACAAATAACTTACGGATTTTATTTGTATTTAAATAATATAAACTATAGTTATAATGCCTATATCTTAAATAACATTTAAATGGAAACCAACGATGAATAGTTTTCATTGAGCGATCTACAGTAAAGGTACTATATTGACCTTAACTACAGTTTTAATTAGTATAGCCAATTTTTTTTAATGGAACCAAAAATATAAGGCATTTATTTTATAATATAAATACAGGGTGACCACGAAAACCTATACATTTAAAAAAAGCAAAATAATATTAATTTTTCAAAAAAAAAAATGTATTTAATTTATGTAATATGTTTGTGGGTGTACATCATTTACTTTAAGTAGCAAAAATGAGGTCAGGAAGGTAAAGTCCATGAGGCAATTTACGATTTCTTCGAGGAAGTTCTTCCACACTAGATCGATCGACCGTCCACTGCTCCACTAACTGAGTAATCTGAATGGCCGTTCTTGGAAAGTCGAATGACTGCCCCCTCACCTCGCCATGACTCTCCAAGGCCGCGTACAAAAGTCCCATAAAAAATGTAATGGTTTTTCCCGGCCACGAGTGGGGAAGAACTTCTTCGAAAGAATCGAAAATTGTGGTAAAATAAATGGCGTACACCCACAAACATGTTACATAAGTTAAATACATTTTTTTTTTGAAAAATTAATATTATTTTGCTTTTTTTTTTTAATGTAAAGGTTTTTCGTGGTCACCCTGTATATATATATATATATATATTTTATTGGAATATAGAATTTAGATGTACTTAGATGGCTTGCACCAACTAAATATATCTTAAACTGGTACACAGTAAAAAAAGTGATGGAACTCGATTATTCTACAAGGAATCATCCTTTTTACCGTAAGGTATTTATCACTAATCAAATAAGTATAACTCCTTCTGAAAATGTTATATTAAGGCTAATACAAATTGTATATTAAAGCAAATACATTAAAAAAAAAAAAATTATTATTTTGTTATGGAATGATTTTTATATAAAGGGTTTTGACGGGTCAATGTTGAAATGTAATAAAACAAGCTGTGTGTGAGATATTAACGAAATTTTATTTTTATTTTAAAGGGTTATGTATGTCATTGGAAGGGTTGCGGGGAAAAAAGATCGTTATTGTGATATAGATACCACATGTGATTTCTTTTGGCCCGAATTGAAAATATGGACGTGGACGACATGTGGACATGTGGTTTCAGCAGGACGGCGCTACGAGCCATACAGCGAACGCCACGATGGATACCGGTTTGAGGGTTGGGTTGTCTCTCGCAAAGGTGACGTAGATCGGCCACCAAAATCGTGCGATTTGACCCCGCTAGACTTTTTCTTGTAGGGATTTTTGAAGTCACAGGTCTACGCTAATAAGCCGCAATCAACCGATGCCCTCAAGGTCAACAGAACCGATGCTATCGCTTAAATTCAACCGGATTTATGCGGCAGAGTTATCGAAAACTGGACCTCACGGATTCGTGCCACCGTGCGAAGCCGCGGCGGACATTTAAACGATGTAATTTTTCATAAATAATTGGCATACATAACCCTTTAAAATAAAATAAAAATGTCGTTAATATCAGGGTTCCGTAACGTAACGAAATATAACGTTATAAACTCAATTATTTCGTTCACCAAAATAAAGTTCACAACACATAACATAATATTAGGATATGTTCGGTGAACGTTATAATGAATAACGTTTTATACTTTTTTGGTCCAAGAACGTTATAACTTTTTTTACCCTGAGAACGTTATACCGAAAAACGTTTTAAATTGATTTGTCCCGAGAACGTTATAACCAAGAACGTTATAACTTTTTTTACCCTCTGCGAACGTTATAACGAATAACGTTTTACATTTTTTTGCTCCGAGAACTTTATAACAAAAAACGTTATGACTTTTTTTACCCCGAGAACGTTATACTGAATTTTGCTATACAAATATAAGTTATTCGGTTAAATGTTCTCAGGGTGTATAACTATACAACAATATTTATAATGACGTTCTTGGAACAAATACATGACGTATAGGTAAAGATATACATTTTCAATTTATATTTTATAACGTTCTCGGACCAAAACAATTTAAAACGTTTTTCGGTATAACGTTCTCGGAGTAAAAAAAATTATAACGTTCTCGGGCCAAAAAAATATAAAACGTTATTCGGTATAACGTTCTCAAAGTAAAAAAAGTTATAACGTTTTTTGTTAAAACGTTCTCGGAGCAAATAAAGTTAAAACGTTTTTCGGTATAACGTTCTCGGGGTAAAAAATGTTATAACGTTATTCCTAGTTAACGTTCATGAACATAATTTTGAACTGAACGAATAAATAACGGTTAACGGAACCCTGGTTAATATCTCACACTCAGCTTGTTTTATTCCATTTCAACATCGACCCGTTCTTATTGGAAAACCCTTTACATATAAAACAAATAAATACCAACATGAACTTAAAAAAAGTGTTATTTTCGTTCACGTTCCTAAAAAATAAAGAACATTTTCCAGTTCCTCATCCTATATTTTGTATAAAAGTAGTTCCACGTTCCAAGCCTTTTTTTTAAAATTCGTTCCTTATCAACTCTGACCACCAGGGAAAATTTATTCATTTCTTTTAAAATCAAAAAATCTATCGAATAAAAATTATATTGGCTACTTGACATGACGTATCAACTAACTACCTCTGTGATAAATTATAACTGTCTTTTTGTATTACATATCATATTGTCTTAAATTTTTATTGAGGTAAAAGCTGAAAAAAAAAACTAAATTTATCTTAACAAATGTAGAAATCTAGAAAAAAAGTATACTCGTAGATGTATGTATAATGTATATACCATATATGTAATAGAAATTTATTGATATTGGCTCTTATATAAATTACAATTGTACGCTGCAGACCAATTTTGAGCTCTCCTTTCCAATTCCGCCTTCACTGAAAATATAACTCAAGTAATATACTCTGAGCAAGAATAATTGGTTACACATTTTTATTGCAATAAGGACAATTATTACATTATTGTGCTGGTAAAATAATATAAATGATATTTATTACAGTGATAATTTCCCTCTTAGCGCGATTACAACAATTCCTTTTAGACTTGGCAATATCTGTTTGAACGCTCGACATAATGACACTAGCTTTCCAGCTCTGTATTGAAATAATTAAATATGTCAGCATTGCGAAGAGACAGCGTTTATTACAGTGGCTCGCAGATTGGGAAATAATATCTGTGCGACATGTCGGACGTCAGGCGGAATTTATACAGTCTGTCGCCGAGCAAAGAAAGGAAAAAGTAAAAGCGCCGGAACTAGACGTAAATAATATATAATGTACACTTATACGTGATATATACAATTCTGCCGAATAATACAATATATATTATTTAATTGTTAATTATCGTTAAGCCGATAATAATATTTGATGTGATACTACCGAGAAGCAATACCATCCGTACCATTAGTGTAGACCATAATGGAGTCGTGATACTTCTTGTCGACTACCGCCACCAATATTATTATACCGGGTTTCCCTACTTGAGAGAACCTCCGCGTGACGCCGGGACACGCGGCCACGGTCAAGCGGCAGTCGCCTATCGCGAATCGTTCAAGATAGTGGCGCGCTCACGCATACAAGTGGCAGCGAAAAAAAAAACAAACAAACATTGGCGTATTAAATAAAACAATTTTAAATAGAAAATGTCGTGTAAACTACCACGCAGAAATAGTTAAAACCGAAAATATTTGTCAACCTCTGGCAGTATACGGCTTTAAAAAAAATTAACTATATTATTGTACATGTGTGTGTGTGTGTGTGTTATTTTTTAACAATTTGTGCTCATCAGTGCGTCTATGTGTTTAGTTAACTTTTCCTGTGAGAGTTTTAGTACCTATATATATATATTTATGTATTCGTGAACCTTAGGCAGTAAAGGTAAGAAATAATTAAAATTACAGCGTTATAAGTAAATCAATGAACAGATCCTTAAATCATTTTTGATTAAAGTTATTTTTTATTGTGTGATTTGCTTATTTCATTCGGAGTTAAGTTATTCGTTTTGATTACAGTGTAAAGATAAAACAAATATTAAAAGTACAATTACACTTAGTTCTAATTATTCATTTTTTAGTGATACCAACAAAGTGTTTAATACTTATTATCAAATTAACAAACGCTATAATTTCCTTTTATTTAATTTATAGTAACAGTTGTAGTACAATTTTTTTTTTAATACAACAGAAACATAATTGAATTTCATTTATCAAAATGCATTCGCGTTTTATATTACGCATTATGTATTGTTGAATTTTTTAATTATTTAATTATATAGATTAAGGTTACGTCGGTCTACGTTATGTACGACTTTATATGTGATGTCAGATGTGGCAAAATATTTGTATATATTTTTTAATACTTATACGTATAACAACTCGGTTGAAGTACGTGATAATAATTAATCGAACTATTTTAGTGTATTATCTATTTCGTATATTTATATAACACATACATATGCATAATACTATTATACTAACGATATCACGTGAAGTATCTGTAAAAGTTATAAATACAGTTTATTGGCGTGTTTGTATGTTAACGTCCACTTAATTCGTATATTTAGCACTAGAGATTAAATTAAATGATTAAAATGTCTTTTTTGTAAAGCCAAAAGTACTATTTATCCATGGCAAGGTTAAAACGATTTACTGTTTGTGATAAGTAATTTTACCTAGTACTGTTACACATCAATATAACAGTATTTAACAATGACACCAAAAAAACTGCATAAAAAACGCCATTCTGTAAAATATCAATACATTTAGTATTACTATAGAGAATAGGTAATATTAATGTAAATAGTATGTAATAAGTATACGTTATAGATACATACAATTAAAGGGCACAGGGGAAGAACGGTAGTAGTCCATTTATGAACATTTTTTTTTTCAAATAGTTTTTTTATTTATGTCAATAAATTGTTTAAATAAATACATTTTTTATTAGAATAGCACTTAATGTGATTTGTTTTTATGTAAGAAAGAGAGGAATTCATGAACTTTTGATTTTGCTATACTCTAAAATTTTTTATAAATGGACTACTACCGTTCTTCCCCCGTGCCCTTCAATTATTAAATAGTTATAATTTTTAAGAAACACGCTTGTAATACTCGTATAACCGGTGTAAGATTATACCTTGTTTAGTAGTAAAATTTACCAAATAAACTAATTTTTTTTTAAAAAATATAGTAGAATTGTTGAATGCTTATACTTTGTAAAAGTACTATTTATCATTTTATGTTTTTATACTATAAGTACTCTGTAATAATATCATAAAAATACATTTCTCTTGATACTACTATGTACTTATGAAAAGTACACATCACTATAAAAACTATATATATATTGTTTTAAGTTCGTATTGAAATTTGAAACATATTTCTTCTTAACAGCACAAAAAAAAAAAAATAGAAGTTCCCATGACCGTCTTAGACTTTTCTAGACTTAATTAGGAACTCAACGGTAACTTCCATTTACTTTGTAATGTTAAGGATAATAATATACTTAAAGAAAATGGTTTAATTATACTAAATTAAATTTCTTACTATCGTTAAATTTTAATAATTTTTATGAAAAACAGTGTAATTTATCTAACGTAAGTCAACATTTTTCGAAAATAGTTGTATAGTAATTTTTTTGTTGAAAATTTATTTTTTTTTAAATTATTATACAATTTTCAAAAACTTACCTTTTTTGGTAAGTTTCTGAGCTCCTTATGAAATTTAAGTAGTAAAGTTTATATTTTATTAATTTTTATAAATAAAGAATAATATACTCAAATTTTTAATCAGTTTAAATAATTATTTTTAGAGTAAAATCTATTATCGTGTAACGTCTAGATTGAGAAGTAATGCAGTTGAGATATTATGCGCGTAGATAATAAATATAAAACTATACCAAAAATATTGTTCAAAATTAGTTATCGACCAGTAAAAGATTTCTAAAAGAATTAAAGATTATGTACATATTTTACTAAAAAATAAAAATATTATAAAATGATTATGCAGTATTGTAAAGTAGCACAAAATAAAATGCCTTTCAAAATAAATATTTTTAGAGAAAATCAACTTCAGAAAAATAGATCATCTGTGTATGTATATTATTAAGTTTAAGCCATAGTAATAATAATTAGAAAAAAAATTATATATATATATTGTGCTAGCGTTTAATATTGATTATAATATTATTTTGTGTTCATAAAAATAATTTACATTTTCCGAATTGACTGATTTTTTTTTGTGAAAAAAAGTATTAATTAATTTAAAAAAACGAGTTTTTTTTTAAAAAAAAAGGTATTTTATTTTCTATTTTACATGACAATGTTATTATAGAAAACATTTTGCTCATTTGAAGTCGGTTAAAAAACTAAACTTCATACATATTACCATGCACGCCGCGTATCATATTCAGTTGTATTATTTTTTCGACTAACGATATTTCAACGATATCCTATGAATACAATAATAACATTCTAACGCATGTATGATAAAAAAATTTGCTAAACGAAGAAATGAGATGTCTGGTGAATCTGTTTTGTCATGTTATTTCGATCCATTAGTGTTGTGCGGAGTCGAATGGCCGGAAGGAATAATAAACGAAAATTCATATCTCCCCGCCCATACCTAATCTAGGACAAGATTATTATTATGATGATCTACTACAGATGTACGGTGGGTAAAAAATACTAATATTATAGGAGCGTGTCAAAGAGCAGGCGATCATCCTGGCTGGGTAAATTTTCGGTAATATGTGCTCACACATCAAGTACATAGTTATTGGGATCTATTCGTGGTTCCGTATTTATTTATTCTTGGTCTTGGTCCAATATTGCATTTACATGCATCAGGTATACCGGCGGTCTGTTGGATAGGAAAAAATAATGACAGTGACAATAATAATATAATAATAATAATAAAGAAACAAACAAGAGATTTTTTTTATTTTAGTTGTGGAATTCAGACGTGTCCGCTGTACAATAATATGGCGAGGACAATGTCGATTATACTTGTGGGCCGTGAAGACCGCTACAACAATTGATAGAAAGAATATTAGAAGGAAAAAAAATAAGTATAGAAAGAAAAATCGTTGTGTAACTCGCGTGTACCGGCCAGTGGATGATGGAAAATGTTTTCCTCTCATTGATAACGGTGCAATGTTCGAATTTTTTTTTTATGTAACAATAAGAGGGCACTGTGTCTATTTGACAAGCGGTTTCTCGTTGCTTTTTCGAGCAAACAATTTAAAGCTAACTTTACAACATTTTCGTATGATCACGGATATTAATAGAAAAATCTACTGAATAACCTTTACTATGTTTACGCAAATATAACATTTGATTTGGCAGACATAAAAACTAAAAATTTAAACTAAAAGTTGCTCGTTTCAAGCAATAGTTTTACTATGGAAAATACAAATAAAATATAATTTGACTATGATTTAATATAAGTACATTTTTTTGTTAATTATACATATATTTACACGGACAAGACTTCAATGATTATATAGGCACTCTTTGTAATTCAATCGTGTATAAAACTCTTATCGGACAATTGGTAACGTGGTACTTTTAATTTTTAAGCTCAAGAAAACTCATACTGGGTTAAAATATAAAAATTGAACTGTTTTTAATTAATAATTACAATTTATCATTATAGTTCTACATTGACTGTAGTCAAAGGTTAATTTTTAGAAGGCATGATTTTCAAACAACCCTTGCTGATAATTGTTCTTAAGTAGTAGAGCCAACTACTGATGCCACTAAGGTAATGAGTAAATTTGACATATGTATATACCTAAAAGTGTTATTGTTGTAATCGTACTAAATGTGTTTTGTCGGGGTTTTATATATAATGGTGGAGAAAGTGGTTGGAACATTATTTTTTGAAAAAAGGTATGAACTAACATCAAATGAGAAAGAAGATCTTTATTCTAAGAAAACGCCAAACAGAAAATAACAATTTTTTTAATAATACAACAAAATGGGCGAGTAACGAACAAATGGGTACACAATTTGTATTTTTGATAAATTATCTAATAATGCAAAACAAAATAATAATTACTTTTCGAATTAAATTAAATTTTGTTTTTACACTTTTAAAGCTTTATATATCTGTTGCCTATTTCTTTGTCGTGTTAACTTAGTAAAAAGGTCTTTAATGTAATCATAAAATAATAATTAAGAATATAATAAAATTTCCATAGGCGTCTGTATTAAAAAACAGCCCTCGAGGCTATCTAGAAATATATTTTTTTTATAAGTAACTTGTGAATTTCAAAGTTAATTTACCAGTGCAACCTGCATAAGTTTAAATTAAAAAACTTCAAAACATGAAACTCTCAAACACTTGAATAATTAAAAAGTAAATACCTAATTATATTTCATTAATAACAATAATAATACCAAAAATATTTAATTATGAAAACAAAATCTCTTAACTTATGTCGAATACCTACAATGAACACGCCTTTACCATACAAATAAAACAATAAATAAAACAATTGGTTCACATAATATTATTATTACCAATTTTTTTAGAACCACTCGGGAATTTTAGCGGTGGCCCAAGCCATGTCCCTATCACACTTGTTTTACACCTACACAAACCCAAAACCAACATAAACCAACCAAAAAAATCCAATCAACCAACATCTAATGGCCAAAGTTGCCGAATCTTAGGGAAAAAAAGGATTCACTTCGAAGCGTTTTTTTGAAAATGATTTTATCATTTTTATCACCTCTCTGCTATAAAATTTCTTGTAGACGCGTGACCTTCCCCGACCCAATGTGTTCCTTCCCCATTATGCCACAACTCAAGTGTACAGGCTTTTTTAATAAACGACTGGTAGAAGAGCAATACGCGTGTCACATCAAAATACTA